GTGCACCACCATGCCCAGCCTTCTCTTCTTTCTTGTAGCCTTCAAGAATCCAATGTTATATATATTCAGAAATTTTATTGTGGATAACATTTATTTATTTATTATGTTAAAGACAAAATAACGATACAAAAATTCAAAACAAGATGATAAGAAATCAACAATGGTTGTTATATTTCATATTGTTATATTGTTATCAACAATGGTTGTTATATTGCATATTGTTATCTTCAGAGTTGTTGCTTAGATTACCAGATATGGGCATGCAAAATTGATCAAACAACATAAGCACTAACTGTTCCTTCCAATGAACTAATACATTTATTTTTTAAATTTTTTTATTATTATTTTTTTTACATTTATTTTTTTAAATGAGGAATAAGAAATCAAGTTGTCTTTCCTCAGTATCTGGTCTATAAACAGAAATCTCTGTGCACCTGAACCAATTGGTTTTCTTCATGTTCTGTGATCATAAGTCCTGTTTTACTACAAATTATAGTCCTATCAAGGAAGAAAAAAAACTGTTTCTTATTTTTTTAACTTGCTTTTTTTTTTTCACTGTTAAACTTTGTTTCAAGTTGCAATTCAGTGCCTGGAGACTGTTTTTAAGATCAGCCCAGAAGATACACATCTAGCAGTTTCACAGCCTTTGACAGAAATGTTCACAAATTCCTTCTGTAAGGTATGTTGTCATTGTTTTCTCATTAGTGTTTGATGCAAGTGTGACTAGTTTCATGTCGGATTGTTAATAGTTGCAGGGCCAGGTCTATAAGTAACTAATTTCTTTCTGGATGTAAGATGGATTATTTTTTATGGAGATATTGTTAAATGTCCTTTGGATTTTTATAGTAGGACCTATTCTTACCCTCTCAACTTCTATAGTTAACGATATATCTTAGTTGACGTTTAAGTCCTTTACAGTATGAATATTTTTTTATTTCCAACCTTTTTTAAAACTGCTATCCTCTTGAAACATGAATTGTAGTTAAAAATAAAAGTTTTAATATCTAGGAAGCAACTATGAAGAAATAGATTCATTTGGAATTGAATTATCATTTCTGAAGTGAATTTTAGTTTGGTCAATGATGGGGCTTTGTAGAACAGATCAATGTACAGGATCTGTAAAACAGATAAATGTTCAGGATCAGTGTATAAAATTAAGGCTGCAACCCAAGTTTTCTGGTCCCTGCTCAGACTGTTTGTGTGGTCCCTGATTTCTGGCCTTGTTGGGAAACATAGACCATATGATCATCTGAAAAATCTTAAGGTTAGTGAGTGTGGCAACCCCAGGTGACCTTGCATATATTTTTTCATTCCATTTCAGTGCCTCATGAACTTCTGTGGTTTTCTTAGCTTTGTATTTGAGTTTGATACATAGTGAAGGATTTAGGAGTAGAGCTGGCACATGAACTGTAAAGTTCAGCATAGGGAGTTGGGAATTTAGCTCAGTGGTAGAGCGCTTGCCTCATAAGTGAGAGGTTCTATGTTCAGTCCTCAGCAGCACCCCCCCAAATAAAAATAAAACAACACTTCAGCTCAGAATGGACATTGCTGACAATACCACATTTAGATTGATTCTCCAGGCTCTGTTTATAGAACTTGTTGAGAAATTCTTAGAATTGCAATAAAGGCAGAAATTTGGCAGTAAACTACTCCTGACTCCCTCCTTTTATACTTGAAAAAAACAGTACAGGTATGCATGAACTCATCAAACTCCGTGTGTGTGTATGGTTCTGGGGATTGAACTCAGGGCCTCACAAATGTTAGGTAAGTGCTCTGCTGATTTACATCCCTGGCCCAAATAAATTCTAATTATATGACAAGATACAAAAAAGATCCTGGCATGTCTCTGTGTTCCTCAGTGGGGAATCCCCTTTTCCTTCCCTTCCGTTAAACGAGGCTCGGGTTCTTTGTCTGAGCCTGTGGCCTCCTCAGGAGAAACTACTGCAGTGGCTGAATAAGGCTGTGGCTAAAGCAGGCCTCATTCTCTCAGGCCTGTGCTTCAGGCAGCACTTGGATTTGCTCTTTGTTTAGCTACTGTCACCATTGACTTAGTACTGAAGAGATCAGAAATTTTTTTTTTAACCTTTCAAGAAGCTGTGATTGAAGACATTCTGTTTGAATAAAGCTCTTTTATCTCCTTTGCTGTATTTCTCTGATTGCATTTAATTGTAAGAAATTTGTTGCATACTATTTTTAAAATGTAGTTCACTGAAACTTCTCCCTGGTACATCTGCAGTGGTGTAATATGTGGTGTCATCATCTTCTAGTAGTCTTATTGACAAGTATGGCTTTATTCCATATGTATTTGTTAAAAGTGTGGCAGAGAAAGTCTAATATTTGTCTGAAACAGCATCAATATTGTTAGAATTAAAGAAATTATTTGTCTTATCAAGTATATTTGAATGTAATATCAGTCATTTTAAGATACTGCTTTTATTTCCCTACCCAGTTAAGTTGGTAGATATATTTAATGAATTCATTCCCTTTATTTAAGTAAGTAACATTTGCCTTTGTCTTATGAGCTGCCCAAACTTACTCAGTGAATGTGAGAATTACTTTTCAATGTGTAAAACTGTGGCTGTTTCATTAAAATAGTTAAAGATTTGGAAAACAGAATGGAGCATAATCAGTTTTTTAATATGTTGGCTTTTTTTGAGTAAGATACTTATTTTTTGTTGTTTATAAACTGGCTACACTTGTTAGGAGACTTACAATATTTTTTTTCGTTACTGGGAATCAAACTTATGACCTCGCTCTTGCTGGGCAGGTGCTGTGCAGCTGAGCTAAATCCCTGGCCCCGGAGATTTACAATAAAAGGAACCCTAAAAGCAAATATTATAGGGCAGTAATGTTATCCAACTACAGTTATAAGTAGTGAACTCTGTATATGAAAGTTCCCATTTTATTTCTATGTTTGTTTTCACTTTTTTATGTTTAAGAAAATTGGTTAGGGGGCTGGGGATTTAGCTCAGCGGCAAAGCGCCTGCCTGGCAAGCGCAAGGTCGTGAGTTCGGTTCCCGGTACCAGAGAAAAACCAAAAAAATAAAGAAAATTGGTTAGTAAAGCTGGACATGGGGGCACATGCTTGTAATCTGGGCACTTGAGAGGCAGAAGGAAGAGGAACATTGTGCGTTTAAGGCCAGCCTGAGCTACATAGTGAGTTCAAGACCAGCCTGGAATATATAGTGAGACCCTGTCTCAAAAACAAAAGCAAGGAAAATTGATTAATGGAGAAAGATTTTAAAAAACAAAGAAAATCCATATTTGCTGTCCATGATTTGCATTTGTGTCTGATTGACTAAGTATATTACCAGTTTTTAATTCATACATTTTATTGAAACTTCAGTTAAGGCAAAAGTAATAGGATATGCATTTTAAATGTAGTGTGTAAGCATAATAGCTACAAATTATGCTTTTTTGAAAATTGTAGGCTTATTCAGACTATCAGTCAAGTTTAAAAGCATTGTAATTTTGAAAAGGTCTTTTGATTTATTTATTATTAATTAATCAGTTTTTTTGAGGCAGAGTCCCTCTATGTAGTTCTGGCAGTCCTCACATTGCAGCAATCTTCCTCTCTCAGTCCCGAGTGCTGGGATTACAGGCATGCACTACGAAGGACAAAGAAAGGGTTTTTTGAAAGTGGAAAGATACATTGTATTTCTAGTGCCACTGAAAATATTTCCAAATTTTCAATTCAATTTTAATAAGCACCTTTGGTTTGAACCTTATTAATGCAGAAGAGGTTTGAAGGTGATAATAAGTGCTGAAACAAAATATGTTTTTCATTTTATAATAAAATAAATTTCTGCCACTGTCTTAAAATTTTATGTAATATACAAAGAAAAGCCGAGCGCTTTACTTCCAAACATGACTACTGTTAACATTTTAGTATACACCTTTTCAGTTTTTGTTCTCAAATCTTTGTGTGTATGTGTGTGTGTGTGTGTATGTGTGTGTACATGCACACACACACTTAATGACCAGATTTTTTTTTTTTGTAAACTGATTTTAACTTGGTATGTCTTTTAAATAGTAAATATTTTGCTTCAGAAATTTCACTAATAAGCCAAGTGTTTAGGTGCACACCTCTAATCCCAGCTAGTGGGGAGGCCAAGACAAGAAGATTGGAAATTTGAGGCCTGCCTAGGCAACTTAGTGAGACCCTGTCTCAAAATAAAATAAACAGGGCTGGATTGTAGCTCTGCACTCAGTGTAGTGTTCATTCCCCAATACTGCTAAGAAAAAAAGATCCATGACTAATCCAGTGATTATATTTTCATTTTGTTTTTTATATCTAAGTTCCATTTTCTTCTTCATAAAGTGGGATTTCTGGGTATGAGGAAAACAATTTTTTTTTTTTTTTTTGTCTTTTTGAGACAGGGTCTCACTATGCAGTTCAGGCTGGCCTTGAGCTCACTTGTGGAGATCCTTCTGCCTCAGCCTTCCAAGTGCTGGAATTATAGGCATGTACCACCATGCCCGGCTTGAAGAAAACAAATTTTAGAAGTTTAATTCACAGTTGCCTGTGATTATCTAGAAAAATAATATATTTGTATTCTTAACAAAAGCATGGGATAGTACCCTCCTACCACCATTTCCTATTAACTCTGATATTTAGGTGTTAGATTTCATGAAATAGAATTTCAGATAAGTTACTGAAATGTGGATAATGTATTACTGCTCTACTTTTGGAGCTCTGAGATGACTCTGTGCAGCTCAATAGAAGTGTATTTATTTTTACTTTATTTCAGAATGATGTTCTGCCCCTCTCAAACTTAGTGCCTGAAGATGTGGGAAAAGCTGACCAATTAAAAGATGAAGGTAAGTATTTCATACAGAAATTACTAATTTAGTACAGCTTTCTGAAACTCCGGAGAGGATGATTATGAGTTGATATGACTCTAGTTTACGCTACCAAAATTGGATTGTCGTAAGTCCATGTGACAATTATGCACCCAAAATGAATGTGAGAGAGGCCTGGAAATAGGTATGGCTTGTGCTGAGAGAGGCAGGTAAAACTTTCAGAACAAATCACTGAAGGGCTGTTTGCTTTTAACTACATTTGCTATTGTATTCTTGTATCCTAAATTCTTCTTCATGCTTAGTCAGAGAGAGGAAAATAATTTTTAGTGTTATATTTAAGTGTTTCTAAGTTCTTTGGAGTTTGTTATTGCATGTATATAGCATTTGACTTGTCTTACTGGTTAACACATTTGATTCAAACATTATTCAATTTTCTATTACCTGACTATTGAAATGTTCTTGATTTTAATAAGTAAGTCAGTGTTAAGGCTTGTGTTCAATTTTCCCATCACATCATTTAGATTAATCTATAGAGAACAATGTTAGGCCTGTAAGATTTGTACTGAGAGACTGTGGGGCACAATCCTTTATCTTTTGCAGTGAAAGAAAACCAATGAACTCCTTATACTGTATATAAGCAGGGAATGATTAGGGAATATGTTGTATTCAGAATCTATTCACAGAGCCATCTTCTAGTTGTTTTCTGAAGAAAGTAGTTGAATTCTTTTTAGAAAAAAAATTACTTGGTGGTTAAAGAGGTGAATATGGGAAGGACAGTGCTTTTCTTATTCTTTGTAGCTGGTCATCTCCCTAGGTCTCCAAGTGTACATCTGTATCACTATTTTTAGTGGCTGTGGTACCCCGAACTTCTTAGAAAGACAGTTTTGTAATCAAAATAACACTGTCTTCGATGTCCTTTCATTTCTTTCTCTACTTTGTGATTATCTTTTTAAGATTAATTAATTAAATGCTGTTTTCAACAGAGAGATGTGTCTGTTTTCAATTTCTTACTTGTTCCAAAACTGATATCACCAGATTTAAAAAATCTTAGAATAGTATGACTTCATAAATTATAAGTAAAATAGAGAACAACCAGATTGCCATTGTTAAAGATAAACCATTCCATAAAGAATTTGGATTTGATCTACACAGATACAAATGTATTTTTTATGTATTAGTTTCTTGCTAGAATGATTTAATCTGAAGTTTTCTTTCCATTCAGATTTTTGTAGTATGCTAAATCTTACGTGATCCATTGTATTTTCTACTAGGATTTTATGTTTGTAGCTTGGCTTAATTCTAGTAATAATGTTGAGCAAATGACAAATTGACTTTTTTTTCTGTCCCTCAGCTCCTTCTGCCTGGCAAAACATTTGGGAGATTGCATTCCCTGTAGAGGTTTTTTTTTTTTTTTGTTTGCTTGTTTGTATTTAAACATAATAAATATTAGTAAGCTGAGAGTTTGGAGTCATTTAATGTGGCAGCATGTATTTACTGAATTACTAGATTTTAATGAAAAGCATTTATTTCACTAAGAAATGTCACATCTCAGACATCTTACATAAAGTGACTGCCATTTTATCTAGATTTTGCTAATTGGCCAAAAACAAATGGCCATGGTAAGTGGTCAAGCGTACGGTTATTCCAAGTTACATATTACACTTACCTGACTGTGTAAGCTTTCTTGTGAGCTAGTATCTCCAAGGAATATTACTTTAAAATATTTCATGTGCTTTGCTTTTGAAGAAGTGCAGTAAGATCAGAAAAAATTAGGAAGGGTTTCTTGCTAGCCCTGACAGGTCACAGAAGTGTGGGTGTATGAGTATCTCATGGGGCTGTGAGAATTCAAAAAGACAGTTTTATAGGAGAATATCATATAATTGTAAAGCGTTGTACATATGCCTTATTGTTACATTTATGACCTTGTAAATTCATTTGTCTCAAATTTTTTATATTGAATATTTTCTGACTTGAAGCTTTTTATAACTAAGTTATAGTATATATATCTTCTAATGTATATTAGAGTATCTTATATTTTCAATAGCTTACAGGACAAGATATACAAGAAAGTTAAATTTTTTTATTGCTACATGTTTGCAGTACGTATTGACATTCATCGTGGGGGATTTATACAGGTACATAATACATCTTCATTCTTCTTTTTTGGTCCCTTTCTTCTTCCCTTCCTCCAGCCCTCGTTCCCCTTCCCACTTACAAAAGCTCTATTTACATTTTTTTCTTTAAACCCCTTTTCTCTTTCTTCCTTTTCCTCTTTCCCTCCATCTCTTATTCCTCACTCTATATGAACAAGATCTTCCTACTTTCTAGTGTCTATCCTTCATGTTATCCTTATTTATACTTTAGGTGTCTTACACAAGAAAAACAATACAGTGTTTATACTTGTGTGTCTGATACATTTTATTTAGGATTATGGTCTCAAGGCACATCCATTTACCTAAAAATGCCTCGAATTTATCCTTATTTATGGCAGAGTAATACTTCATTGATATAAATGCCACATTTTCTTTATCCACATAGCTTTTGATGGGCATATGGGCTGTTTCTACGATTTAGCTGTTATAAATTGTGCTGCTAGATATATGGGTATGCATGTATCACTGTGGTATGATGGATTTAACTCTTTCAGGAAGATACCTAGAAGGGGAATAGCTAGGTCAAATAGAACCGCTGGTTTCAGTTTTTTGAGGAATCACTGTACCAACTTCCATAATGGTAATACCAATTTACACTTTCACCAACAATAGAGAAGGGTTCCTTTTTCCCACAGCCCTGCAGCATTTGTTATTGGTTGATTTCTTGAAGATAGCCATTCTTTCAGATGTGAGATGGAATCTCAATGTTGTTTTAATTTGCATTTTTTGAATGGCCAGCAGTGTTGACCATTTTTACAAATATATTTATTGTCCATTTCTACTTGTTCACCTGAAAAGTGTCTATGTCAGCTGTCCAGCTATGGATTCGGTTTTTTAATTTGGGAGGAGGGTCTGATTTCTTTTGAGTTCTTTCTATATTTTATTTTTTTTCTGGTACTGAGAATCGAATTCACGACCTTGTGCTTGCCAGGCAGGCACTGTGCCGCTGGGCTAAATCCCCAGCCCCTTCTTTATATATTTTCATTATTAGTTCTCTGTTTTAGGAGTATCTGGCAAAAGATTTTTTTCCCACTTGGTAGGTTGTCTCTTCATTCTTTTTGTGGTTTCCTTTTTATTTTCTAAAATTTGATGTGATCCCATTTGTTGGCTCTTTATAATACGTCCTGCATCTGCACCTATGTCTTGAAGAGTTTTACCTGTTCTGTCTTTCAGCAGATTAAGTGTTTCTGTTCTAATATTTAGATCTTTGATCCATTTCAATTTTAGTTTAGTGCATGGTGAGAAATATGGGTCCTAGTTTGATCTTCTCAATGTGTACAGCCAGTATTCCTAGCTTGTTAAAGAGGCTATCTTTCCTCCAGTGAAAGTGTTTGTCCCGTTTGTCAAAGGTAAGTAGCTGAGGGTGCCTGTCCTTGTTTCTGCATTTTCTATTCTGTTTCAATGACTCACAGGTCTGGCCTTTTGTCCCCCCAGTACCATGTTGTTTTACCACTGAAGTTTTGTGGTATAATTTGAAGTCTGAGGTGATGCCCCATGTCTTGCCCTTGTTGCCCAGAATTGCTTTTCCTAGTCTAGGTCTCTTCTAGTTTCATGTAAATTTTAAGAATTTTTTCTCTAGGTCACTAAGGAATGCTATTAGTATTTTGATTGGGATTGCATTAAATCTATGTAATGGTTATGGAAGTATGGGCATTTTCACTATATTTGTTCTGCCTATGCAGGAGCAGCTTTCCATTTTCTGATGTCCTTTTTTGATCTCTTTTTTCAGAGTACTATAGTTTTTCATTGTGGAGGTGAAACCTTCTTGGTTAGGTTAATTCCTAAGTATTTAATTTTTCTTAATTTGTGAAAGGTATTGATTTCCTAATTTCTTTCTTGGTAAGTTTGTTATTGATGTACAGGAATGCTATTGATTTTTGAGTGTTAACTTGTGTACTGGTACACTATTAAATTTGCTTAGTAATTCTAGGAATCTATTGGTGTTTTAGGGGGTCCTCTATGTAGAAATGTAGTCAGTAAATAATGATAAATTAATTTGATTTCTTTCTTTCCTACACATTTTTTTTCTTGTCTAATTGCTCTGTCTAATATTTCTAGAATTGTATTGAACAAGAGTGGTAATAGTGGGCATCCTTGTCTTGTTTCCGATTTTAAAGTGAAAGTGTTCAGCTTTTTTCTATTTAGTATGATGTTGGCTGTTGGTTTGTCATAGATGGCTTTTGTTAGATTAAGATTGCTGCTTACCAGGCAGCTCTCGATGTTCCTGGGGGAAAGACTGTGAGAAGATGGAAAAAATAAAGATAAGAGACAAAAAAGCTGAGGTCAGGCGGAACCCTTTCGCTCCAGATGGGAGAAAAAGAACCACTACCATAGAGACATTTATTTATACATTTGATAAAGTTAGTATCACGTGACATAGGGTTGCCTGGCAGCTAATGGCTGCGAATGTCTCGAGCAAGGTATTTCTCTTGCCCCCACACATATGACCAGTTTTCAGCTTCAGCCACTCCCTACATGAGATAAAGACCATTTATTCCAAATTTCTTTAGGGTTTTTATCATGCATTGATGTTGGATTTTGTTAAATGCTTTCTCTGTGTCTACTGAGATGATCGTGTGGTTTTTGTCTTAGCTTCTGTTAATGTGATGTAGTACCTTTATTGATTTGCCTATATTGAACTATCCATGCAACCCTGGAATGAATCTGACTTGGTCATGGTGTATAATCTTTTTGATGATTTACAACATTCTGTTTGATCATCTTATTGAGCATTTTTCTGATTTTGAAGTTGGGTAGTGCTTGCTTCTGGTAATGACTTTGGGAGTACTTCTTCCCTTTCAATTTCATTAAAGAGTTTGAGGAGTATTGGCATTAGATTTTGAGTTCTTGTAGAATTCAGCAGTGAATCTGTTGGAACCTAGGCTTTTCTTATTTTGGTAGTCTTTATTTTTTGTTAATTCTTCTGTTTTGTTGACTGATACAGCATTATTTAGAATTTTTATAGCTTCTTGATTCAGGCTTGGTAACTCATATGTATCTAGGAGTCTATTTATTTCTTCTCAATTTTCCATTTTGTTAGAGACAAGTTCTCAAAGTAGTTACTGATGATTTTGGGATTTCTGTAGAATCCATTGTGATTTCACTTCTAATTATGTGGATTTGGGTCTTTTCTTTCCTTGTTTTGGTAAGTTTGGCTGAGGGTTTGTCTATTTTATTTAATCTTGTAGACCTAGTTCTTTAATTCATTTTTTTTTTTTGGTCTCAATTAGATTATTTTTTTCTCTGATTTTTATAATTTTCTTCCTCATACTGACTTTGGGTTTAAATTGCTTTTTTTAGAACCTTGAGGTGCATCATTAGGTTATTTGAGCTTGTTGTTTTTCATGTGGAAATTCATCACTCTAAATTTCCCTCTAATGACTGCTTTCATTAGCAATATCAGCAAGCCCCCACAGGGAAAACAAATAGAAAATGAAAAAATACAGAAGCAAAATGCCTCCAAAACAGAGGAGAAAGAAATAAAAAAATGCATATCTGAAATATCTGAAATGGAAGCAGTAGAAATAACAAAAGAGATAAACAAGACTTTTGGGGAATTCAAAGCAGAGATAAAGAGATAATTAAACAGATAATTACCCTAATAAAACAAATGACTGGTGAGTCTAGAGAAGTTTCTAATAAAAAATAGACAAGCTAAAATAAAGACATGAAAATGTGAATGCCCAACATAAAAAAAGAACTGGAGCTCATAAAACAGTTTCAAACAAATCCAGGAGATTACAAACTCTTTGAAAGTATGTACAGCAAGCGGGTGGAGGGAAGGGGAAAAACAGAATTGAGATGTGTTATGTACATATATCAACTCCCTGTGAGGTCTGTAATCATTATGTACTGCAAATATGTACTAATGAAAATAAAAAAACAAAGAAGGAAAGTATATGCAGCAGAATGGATCACTGTGAGTATAGAATATCATTCCAAGAAGACAGGGCTGTGGTTGGTGATCAGCTAATGAAGAGGTACCTTAAAAACACCAAGGGACTATTGGTGAATTCCTACAGTCCTGCCTAGTGACACTATGTATTGTGTCTAATGTTCTTTTAAATTATTATTTTCTTATTCCCTTTAATGATTTGATCAATCTTCTATTCTTACATCTGGTAATCTGAGCAACTTCATTGAAGATAACAGTGTGTAATATAACAACCACTGTTAATCTCTATCATTTGGTTTGAGACCCTGTATCATTTTTAATGTCCTTGCTTTGTGTTGTTTGTATTTTGCCATTGTTCTTTTTTTTGGTACTATTTTCTTTAAAATAAAAAAAGTAGAAAAAAAATACCAAGGGACCATAAAAAATTCATTTAGCAGCTGCTAGATAATGCAAAGAAGACTAATCCATAATAAATTGGAATCAATGGAAAATCAGAAGATAGCACAAATGGTATAAAAAGCTCTTCACAGAATAGAAAAACTTAATAAGCATAGAAAAAGAAATTGCAGTGCTCCCTATTGAATTGTTCCCTAACCAGTATGTAGTGAACTTCTTTGTCTCTTCTGATCTGGCTTTGAATTTTCTGTGTAGCTCAGGCTAGTCTCAAACTTGAGGAGATCCTCCTGCCTCAGTCTCCTGAGTGCTGGGATCACAGAGGTGTGCAACCATCCATGGAAATGTACTGAAGTACCTAGGGGCATAAAAAAAAAAAAAAGGAACTGTTTATCAATCTGGGCATGGTGATGCATGTCTGTAAAATCCCAGCACTCTGGGAGGTTGGGGCTGCAGGATCACAAGTTTAAACCCAGCCTAGGAAGCTCAGTGACCCAGTAAGAAACAAACGAACAAATAAATAGGCTGGGAATGTAGTTCAGTACAAAGGTCCTGAATTCCATCACAAATATTGTAAACAAAACCTGTGGAATCTAGTTAGCTTCCTTAGAAAAGTTTTTACAAAAATTTCCCTACTAGTACATGTGTGTCCTATGTGCTTACATTCCTTGTGACAAGTTGGTACATGTCTATAACACATTTTGATTCCTTTTTTCATCTGCTTACCCTTTTTTTCTCCCTTCCCCCTCTACCCATCGCTTGATCCTCCTTTCCATTTTTTTTTTTTTTTGGTACATATTTGTAGTACATATTATTTACATTCCTTGTGTGGAGAAGGTTTTATATTCATGTCTTTTTTGGGGAACACACATTAATGTTTTCTAAAAGATAGATTTATTGAGATGCAATTCACATACCATACATTTACTTCTGTTTTTGAAACAGGTTTTGCTATATAGCTCAGGCTGGCCTTGAACTCACTATGTGGACCACACTCTTCTCAAACTCACATTGATCCTACTCCCTTAGCCTCCTCAGTGCTGCAATTACAGGCTTGCACCGTCATACCCAGCCACATTTACTTCTCTACAGTGTACAATTCATCAGTCTGTCCTATAGTCAAAGTTGTGTGGTCATCAAAATTGATCATAAAATATTTTCATCACTTCTAAAGAAACAAATCCATTAGCTGTCATTCTCTATATTCATTTTGATTTGTGATTTACAGTGACTTTTTATGATTTTGGATGCTTTTATTTACTTCTTGTAGTGGAGTGACAACTGGTGGTCAACTTAAAACCTCCAGCTGAACTGAGTAAGTGTGGTGCTGGGTGTGGGAGGCCCACCTGAGGATTGTTGCCTACAGCATAAGAGGCAGCACTGGAGAAGAAGTTAGGCTGTTGGGAACTGAGAGGGGCTGTTGGGAGCTGAGAAAGGCTGTGGGGAGCTGGTAGAAGCTGTAAGGAGCTTTGGGTTCTTTTGAAGGAGCTTGTCATGCTGGCTTTCCTCATCAACTTGGCTATTTTCATCCTCTGAGGAGCTCAGGACCTTTTTGGCACTGAGAATAGCTTTGGTTCACTTTGGGGGAGCTCTGGTCCTCACTCTGAACATGGCTTCCTGGCTCCAGAGGGGAAGATGGTGCAATGCAGGTCTCCTGGAGCAGCTTGCTGCGTTGGCTTTCCTGATGGGAACTCAGCTCTCTTCATCATCTGAGGAGCTCAGGACCTCACTGTTGCTGAGGGTGGCTGTAGTACTTTTTGGGAGAGCTCTGGTTCTTGCTTTGAGCGTCGCTTCCTGGTTCCAGTGTAGATCCCTCAGTCCGCTAGCACAGATCTTTCATTCCGTTGGCACAGACTTCCTAGATTCCACCACTGACCTTTGGGCCTTTCAGTGCACATGGTGTGAAACAGGCCTGCATGAGGTATTGTTATGAGCTCTAGGTCTTCAGCTGGACTCACGCGGGACATTTCTGTGGGATCCAGGCTGTCGGCTAGATTCCGTGGTCATAGTGTATGGACAGATTTCCTGCACCTCTTGTATATCATTCTTTGGGTGACTATTAGAAATAATCTCATAAAATATGTGTCCTGTATTATATTGTTTCCCCATGCAAAATAACCCCCAAACCAACACACTTGTCTTTCTTTTAGTTTTCCTATTCCTGTTTCTAATTCCTGCGTGTCTCATTAACTCTCATTAACTAGCTAATTACCTCTGGTAAAACAAGAGCTTCTTGTTTACAGAAAAGTGGAAGGAATCACAGAGACCTCTGAGATGTAAATCCTTCCTCCTAATCCCAGTTGTTCTAATAATTTTAGTTTTGAGATTGGATCTTACAGATTCAAGGGATACTTTTTCTCCCATTAATGGAAAACAGGAGGAAATCCCTTCAGCTGACCAGTTGTTAACCTAGCCAGATTACTGCCAGATGTATCTGTAGATGCCCTTCCTAAAAATTATTACTTTGTAGGCTGGAATTCTATCTGACATTCTATGAAATTTCTATGTCTAGAAATTATTTGCTCTAGGTCCCCCTTTAGAACATTCTTGTCTCTGGCCTGCATAGCACATAAAAGTACTACCTGCCAGAAACATATTAGCATGATTAGTTTCACCAGCTTACTCACTGTGGCGTCCTGAGAGCTTGGCTATGCAACAAGCATGGATATTGCGAGGGGAGGAGTGAAGATGAGGTCCCAGGTGAGATCATAATTAGAGAAAAGTGGGTAGGGCGGCTCTAAAAGGAGCAGAGAGAAGATAAGGATGAAGGATGTGAAATAGTTACAGTGGTTGCATTTACTCACACTAGCCTGAATTTTGTAATGTGCACACATTAATTTTTCAAAACCCACATTACTAAGGTGACACAAACAAAACGCAGCTAGGAACGTTAGCTCTGTAGTAGATTATAAAATTTATCTCCAATGTGACTGAAAAATCATGTGGCTGACCTTATTAGTGTAATTTCTATGGCTAAAGTTATCTGTCAGACTTCATATTTTTTCTATATATTTTACTTACTATATATATCAATTATTTTATTTCAGGCAATAACCACATGAAAGAAGAAAATTATGCTGCTGCAGTGGATTGTTACACACAGGCAATAGAACTGGATCCCAATAATGCGGTTTATTATTGCAACAGGTAAACTGGGACCATTGTAGCAGGTTTACAGTTCTTAAACATTGGGGTTAATAACTCTGAAGGAAAGTTGTAAAATTTATTCATTTAATAAAATTTGAAAGTTCAGAAAATATAAAGAAGGAGGGAAAAATAAACTCATAAACTTATTCCTTGGGTGCAACCACTATTAACCTTTTGTCATGTTTTGTTTTAGGTAAGTGTGCTCAATTTTAGATAGGACATGTCATAAATGTGTCCTAATTTCATTGAATTCCTTCATTCTTTAAATGGCTACACATTAGTCTATTTTGCCTTTATTATTATTTTTAAATTTTCTACACCTAGTATTGTAGTGGACAAACAAGTATCAGTAAGTATTATTTTTGAGTAAGTGGATATGTATACCTTAACTTACTTAATTATTGACCTGCTGGTGGGCATTGAAGTTGTTTTTATTTTTTTTAGCATCATCAAGCTGTAGTGAATGTTTGTATTTCTAAATTTTTTTTAATGCTTCAGATTTTCTGGATTTTGAATTTATTCCTAGAAATGCATTTACTTGGTTTAACAGTGTGAACATTTAAAAAACTGATGCACTTTGCAAAACTGTTTCAATTTTTTTGACTATATTTTGAAAATTAATGTCCTGCCTGGAACTGTATGAGTGCATCTATTTTTGCCATGTTCTTTATCAGTGTTAGGCACTCAAATTATTAATTACAAATTTAGTATTGTTTCCATGTTAATTTTCCTAATTTATGTTTAATTACTGATGAGATTGGACCTTTTAACTTCTTTTGATCTCAGTGCCTTTACATTGAATTATGTGCCCAGCCCTCCTTATTTTTTATTTTGAGACAGGATCTTGGTAAGTCACTGAATTATCCAGGCTGGGCTCAAACACATGACTCGCCTGCCTCAGCCTCCTAGAGTATTGAGATTAATAGGCATGTGCTATCACCACATCTGGTTAGATATTTTTCAAATATTGGGTGGTAGTGGGGTTTTTCTCCTTGATTTCCTGTTCATACATTCATGCGTATCTATAGACTGCATGATTATGTTCCCCCACATTCATATGTTGGAACATAAACCCCACTGCAATGGTATGTGGGAGTGAGAGCTTCGGGAAGTGAGTAGGTCGTGAAGATGGAGCTGTCAAGAGAGGGTCAGGCCCTTCTAAGAGAGACTCCAAGAGCTGCTTGCCCTCCAGCCATGTGAAGGAAACATGGGTGAAGTACCTGTACCAGGCTGTGGCCTGTCTGACCGCAGACTTCCTGGCTCTGCTCATGTTAACAGGGATCTGAACCCTATAGGCTACATTTGCAAGGCTCTTTTACCACCTGTCTTTTGTCTGGCCTCAGCCATGCCAGGTGCTGGCAGGAGGGTGAAGGGTAGGAGGAGGATAGAAATTCATGTATCTCTCCTCTTCCCCTGCATTTATATCACAGCGTGTATATAAAAGTGGGCTGTTTCTCATCCTTGTTTCCCACTTCCACCAAACACACCTCCTTGCTTTTGCCAGGTGACCTTGGGTTTTGGACTCCAGGCTTTAACCTTGTGGTTGAGAGATGGTAATGGCTTTTTGCTGGATTGCTGAATAACCCCTGCTTTGGCCCCTCAGTTCTCCTTATGTAATGAATTCCCTGAATTAAGTTACTCTGTTTAATATAAGCTGAATTTCCAGTAGAACTTTCTTGCAGTAATAGAACTGTTCCATTATTAAATTCATATTTGCTTTTGGTTGATTGAAGGCCTCTTTTTTCATAAATTCTCCCTATTCTATTTATTCATATTCATATTCTTTTGACAGATTTTTACTAAACTTGTACTAGTGCTGTCACTAGAAGTAGAGATGGTTGTTTGGACAGAAACACAAGATGTTATAGGACTGTATCTTGTAACGTTCTATTTATTTATCCCTTAATATTTTTGGATAATGAATCTGTAAAGTAATACATTTGCTCTTGCTTCCAGTTTCACATCACCCACAAAAATGAGAAGAATACTATCTCTCACATTATGCCAGTTTACAAGTTAACTAATGGAGATATCATGGAGAATGCTTAAGAGCAGAGTTCTGGATCCAGACTTGGTGGATTCTAATGTCTGGTTCTGTCAGTTACTACTTAATGTAACCTATAACAAATTACCTAATGTATCTATGCATTAGTTTTCCTATCTGCAAAATATGTATAATAATAGTAATTATCTTGTAGGTTGTTGTAGATGTCAAAGAATTTATATAAATGCTAGGAAAGTGTGTAGTAAAGAATGTTGTATACAAGTAATAACTATGATTATTATTTATGTGGCCTGTTTTTCTACCTTGATCAGAATATGAAGAGAGATTCCAAGTTACCAGCTTCCAAATACATTCTCATTTATCTTTTCTGATTAGCATTCTCGTACTAACCTTACTGAAATGAGGTGGAACTGAGATTGTTCGCACACATCTGAAATCCTTATACTCTAGAGGCTGTTATAGTAGGATCACGAGTTCAAGGCCAGCCTGGGCTCCATAGTGAGATCAAGGCCAGCCTCAACTGCCTAGAAAGACCCTGTCTCAAAAAGACCACAAACAGATGAATAGATAAATAAATAATAAATAAAGAGGAAATGATGTTAGTCTGACAAGACTTGTTCTGAATTAATCCAGTGTCATGTTTTTTTTCTCTTTAATTTCTATCATTTTATTATGAAAAATTTCAAAAATTGAAAGAATCCACACCTAGATTTTGACATTAGTATTTTAGTGTATTTGCTATATCACATATCTATCCATTTGTGCCTCTGTTTATTAGTACATCTTATTTTTTATACATTTCAAAACAAATTGTAACCATTGTACATTTTCCTCCTGTATTTGTAGCATATCATTAACTAGAGTTCAAAATTTTTCTTTTTTTTTTTTTTGTTCTGGCTACCTCTTTTTTTTATTTTAAAGAGAAAAAAACCAGAATTTCAAAACAAGATAATAGGAAGGTAACAATGGTTAATACATTGCATATTGTATAATGGTTAATACATTGCATTTACATTAGTTACTCAGATTACAAGATCAGACATTTAATTATCCAGTCAAGATTAGTACAAACCTTTCTTTTCAATGAACTAAGAGAAATTAGTAGTATAACTATCTTAACCATCATATATATATATATGTACACATTTTTTTTGGCTTTTCCCTTCCTTTTCTCTTTTCCCTCATCCCAGTTTCTCTTTACTGTTGAGTGGTTCCTTCTCATTTCACAATGTCTATTGTACATTGACTCTTCTTTTTGTTGTGGACTCTGCAAACCTGCTTTCACCCTAGCTTGCCATTTGTGATCTGTCGCTGCTAAAGCCAAATCAAGTCACCCTATTTCTTTCTATTCATTCTCTTTCTGAGTCTGATTCTTCTGGCTTTATTTGTAATCTTATTCTCAGTAACTGAAGCCAGAGTTTAAAGCATCTTCCTTTATACTTCTCTTTTCCATATACTCCCGCAAATAATTTGTTCCCTACTCTCCTAGTCTATATCCTTAATTTTTGCAAGAGAAACCTAAAGCAGCCTCACATTTCTACTTATACTCCTCACTGCAGTTTTCTGCCAAAAGATTTTTTCTAAAATCTGAAAGTGATCATCTAAATTCTTGGTTTCTGTTCACTGGTTCCATATATGTACATGTTCAAATTTAAGCTCCTGATCATGATAACATCCTCTTTTTAATCTAGTCTGTCTCTTATCTGTCTGTATCTTTGTGTCTGTCTGTCTCTGACTGTCTGTCAGTCTCTGTCTCTGCCCCACACCTGCCTCTAAGATTGAATCCAGGACCTCACCTCTGCTGGACAAACACACTGTACTACTGAGCTACATTGCCAGTCCTTTTAAAAATTGTATTTTATTTTGAGACAGGGTCTTGCTAAGTTACCCAGATTAGACTTGAATTTGCAACACTGCTGCCTTAGCCTTCTAAGTAGCTGTGATTACAGGTGTGCACTCAGCCTTCATGTTTTCTGAGCATCTATTTTAAACCTCCTATTTTCCTTTTTTATGTCTCTTCTGAGTTAATCCTTCCTACTTGGAAACATTATTGAGGCATATTCTTTTTCCAAAGTTGGCTTTTTCAGTGTTTTCCAAGGGATGAGATTATGAGAACTTCTGAAAGGATTAAAGAAATAAAAGCTTAGTTGCCTCAAAAGTGAAAGAATTGGAGAAGGTACCAGAGGACTTGTTCTTTAACACTACTACTGAAGTGAGCAGATAGCAGCAGAGCACTCCCTGTGCCATCCCCGCAGTCACTCACTCTGCATGCCTCCCTGGAAGTCCACGTGCCCTTAGTGTTGTCAGTTTTCTGTCGGGGCAAATTAGAAAGGCATATGACTTGCACAGCTGTCTTTTCTATAGCAAAGTTAACAATGAAAAGAAGCTTGCATATTTTGTACCTGAGCAGAAGTTTCTCAGTTCTTTTTTTCCATTTTATTATATAATTGTCATAGACAGTTTGACTTAGAAATTTACTGGGAGTGATTTACAAATTAGTGCAAGAAAAATATAGTTTTATTAGTACCTGAAGTTCTCAATTAATGCCTTGAAACCTGTTTATAGTAAAAATCTTTCTCTCTTTCTTAGGGCTGCTGCACAAAGCAAATTAAGTCACTATACAGATGCAATAAAAGATTGTGAAAAAGCAATAGCAATTGATTCAAAGTACAGCAAGGCCTACGGGAGGATGGGGTAAGTTCTAGGAAAATGTTCATCATAGTAGCAAGTAGTATCAGATATATTGTTTTTATTGACTTGATTTTGAATTTTCTGCTTAATACTCCACCTTCGGAAATAATACGGTAACTCTAAGGGAGGAAATGACTGTAATTTCTGTGACTTGAGAGTGAGATGAATTTTTTTTTGGATTGTTCGTTGAAGAAAATCATACAATCAGATGAGTAGATGACCATGATTTCAAGTCTTAGATGGGCATTCGACATTGGTAGACAGTCTTCCTACTTTTTCTCTATATTCATTTTTTCATTCTCTGATATGACTATTTCATACCTCCTTCTCCCCTTTAGATTTTTTACTGCTCTTTGCATGTTGAGTCTCAGCTGATGATATTGCCTTACACTTAATTATAAAGACAAGCCATTCTTCTCATTTTGGAGAAAGTTAAGTCATTGTCCTAATTTTAAGTCTACCAGTCCACTTGTGTTTATATGTACACAAATCGACGGGGTTGTTTTTTTTCTTCTTCATTAAAATGGAAGGGCTCTTAACCTAAGACCATTACCTTCTACTCATGCTTTAAGACCTTATACTTGCGTACTTTCACACTTATAATGAACCCTTTTAACCTATATAGCACCAGTTTCCCCCATTCTAATAGATGACATTGGCTGGTATGTGAGCGGTAATAAAAGTCATCCTGTGGAACCATCTTTTAGTGAGTATTCCTCCTCATATCTCAATTCCTGTTTGTGTGTGAAACCCCTTAAGATTGTACTTGTTGTCTCATCCTTCTGATCTCTTGTTATTTCTTAGCCAACTCTTAGGCTTTTGTGTGTAATAGTGTGATTGATGGTTTACTTTCTTTGTCAACTTGACTGGGCTGAGGTATGCCCAGAGAGCTGGTAGAGTATTATTTCTGACTCTGTGAAGGCATTTCTGAAAGAGATTAGCATTTGAATCTGAAGATTGAGTAAAGATCACCCTTTGCAGTGTGGGTGGGCATCATGTGATTCCTTGATGGCCAAATAGAACAAAAAGTCAAGGGAAGGATGAATCATTCTCTTTGTTTGAGCTAGGGCATCTGTCTTCTGTCCTGGGACCCTGGCATTCCTAGAGCTCAAGTCTGTGGAGTCTAACCTGGTCTTATACCATCAGCTTCCCTGCTTCTCAGGTCTTTAGGTTTGATTGCAAGTACTTCACTAGTTTTGCTGGGCCTGCAGCTTACAGATGGCAGATAGTGGGGCTTTTCAATTTCCATAATTGTGTAAGCCAGTGTCTTATAATAATTCTCTATGTATCTTTGTCACTGTAATACTGGTTCTGTTTCTCTGGCGAACCCTGACTAAGACAATCACTTTATTCAAGGTCATACATTGTCTGTATTTCATCAAAGCTGGTATTAAGTTATGTTTCCTCACACTTACACATCTTTTAATATTTGGTGCAATTAACCTATATTCAAATGACTTCATCCTGTACAATTCTTCCCACTTGCCCAGTTCTCCTTGTATCCTGGATGTTCTTTTCCAGGTCCATTGCTGGCTCTTCCTCCGTTACCACCTCTGAAAATGGTATATTGCAGGGCTGTGTCCTCTGCGGCTGCTTCTCTGTTCTCTCTTCTGATTTCATCCTGCCTCATGCTTTTAATTAGTTAATCAAACTCAGGGCTGGTACTAGCCAGGCAGGTGTGATGCTGCTGAGCACCATCCCTGGCCCTGCCTCACGCTTTTAAATTCCATCTGGAGTTGTTAATCATTATTTACAGATTAGGTATTTATGAATTTTCTAAAATTTATTTGTAATCCTCCATTCAGTGGTAATTTATGGTCCTCCTGTGGTCATTCATGGACATTCACAAGTGGTAAATGATTGAATAGTACTGATGTGCACTGTTTCAGCAGAGGTTGAATAAAGTCTTGTTCTTCTTTCTTAGCTTGTGCTAAAAGAGTCTGCCACATTTAAAAAAAAAATGTTTTTCTGCTTTTTGTTTGTGATTTTGCTGTTTATAATAGCCCACCAATATGTTGTAAACTTTTTCTACGTGCAAGAAGCTGTAATGTGTTGTATAGAGAAAATACATGTGTGAGATCTAAGCTACATTCAAGCATGAGTTAGTGATGGCACTGAGTTTAATGCAAATGAGTGGATTAGAGTTAAATACTGAGATAAACCTTTTGACTCTAATATCCTGATGTTCTGTAGCATAACTTTTCTGCTGTTATATCCTGTATTTCTTTCAGGCTGGCCCTTACTGCCATGAATAAATTTGAAGAAGCAGTTAGAAGTTATCAAAAGGCATTAGATCTTGACCCTGAAAATGATTCCTATAAATCAAATCTGAAAATAGCAGAACAGAAGTTAAGAGAGGTATCTAGTCCTGTAAGTTTTTAGTGTGAAATGAGTGATACATTTTCTCTTTTGCAATTTATGGAAGTTAAATTGTAGTAGTTGGAATGGTTCTCAGATGCAGCTCTTTTACAGACAGGAACTGGATTGAGCTTTGACATGGCCAGCTTGATAAACAATCCTGCTTTCATTAGTATGGTGAGTATATTTCCTTTTCTGAGCTACTGGTTTTGTTTTCCTTAGAGTAATATAATTCCAAAATTTTTTTCCCCAAAACTTTTTTAAGAGATGGAATTTTGTTCTGTTGCCCAAACTAGCCCTAAACTCTTGTTCTCAAGTGGTCTTCTTGCCTCAGCCTCCCCAGTAGCTAGAACTACATGCTTCAAATCTTTTTGGAAACAAATAGAGACATGTCTGTCCTGCTGGTAGTAGTGAAGTGCTGATGGCAAAGGCTAAGGCAGATGTTCTTCCCTGTCCATCTTCCTCTGAAGGAAGCTAGAAATGGATTTCAGAAAGCTCATGGGTTCTTCAAAGAGGTGTATAGAAATCTGTGTATAGGTTGATGTCTGCAATGTTTCTAGGGAGAAAACCGTATTTTTCATCAGATTTACACAAGAGTGTATAAATATATAAAAGGCTAAAAATCCAGTCTCTTCCATGAAACTGGGCGTAGGAAGATGGATCTAACAGTTCTAATCTTTGTAATCCTCAGATCTAAATCTGAGGATTCTGGCTATGATGCTTCCCTAAACTTGTCCTCAGTATTGTCTGCCTTGTTTTCTATCTTAAGAGTTTATTTGGAACTGGCAGTGTAACCATGAAAAAATTTCTTGAACTTTTCATGTAAGTCTCGTATATGTATTTTGTTTTTCAAATCAACAAAACAACATACTCTTGGAAAATATATATTAGTCCAATATATGGTAACTTTGATTTAGTGGGTATAGGATGTTACCTGAGCATATAACACTCCCTCAGTGACTGTCTATTTTGGGTAATAAACCGTCTGCCACTGCTGTGCTCCTTGAAGGCAGGAATCAGTTCTTTATCATCTTTGTTTCCTTCACATAAATATACCTTTCATCCGTTAAATCCTCAGGTGAATTGAAATGCATAGATGACTTATTCCCAGTGACACAAAGACATCTCTTGAGCAATTGGTAGCCTCCCCCCAAATCAAAGTTAGTTGGTCATCCTACCATCCTACCATATATTTGCTGACAGATACATGCCTCTTTGTAAGTTCTATGACATTTTTTAACCTGGTTACCCACTTATAGGACTCAGTTTACACAACTGTAACAGGATGCAAAAATGGAATTCTTTTAGTTTCATTTGACTTAGGCTTCAAGCTGCTGTGTGCCAAATAAGGTGTGACCCCACCATGTAGGAGTTGCAGGAGTTGGTTAAAAAATCAGATTTTTGAATTCTTGAGGAAGTCCAGCACTGAGGATACAGTTCAGTACATGCCTAGGTTGATCCCTAGCACTGGGGGATAAAAAGAAGGCTCAGGTTGGTAGATTAAAAATGGGGCCTTTGGAGAGAGCTTTTGGACTTGCAGAGGCCTGATCCATGTGAAGGAAGTGGGGAAGCCTGCCTTCATCTCATACTCACTGAAATCGGATTTTCTGGTCTACTCAAGAGATCGCCATTGAGCAGTCACCTCTCTCAAAAAGTTTTCTTTTAGAGTGGACCCTCACGTGTATAGGAGATTCTTGTTTTTTTGGACAGAATCTTATTGTATAGTCTAGGCTCCCCTTGACCTTTGCCTTAATTACTTTTCTTGTTGCTGAGACAAAATACCTAACATCCAAAGTTAAAGGAGGAAAGGTTTATTGTAGCTCATAGTATTGTAGCTTAAAGAGGTTTCATTTCATAGTTGGCTGGCTTCAAAGCAGAGTGGTGTGGTAGAGGGGCATCACAGAGGGATACAGTTCATAGTGGACAGGCAGGAGATGGGAAAGCAGCAGCAGCAGCAGCAGCAATGAGGCACAAACCTCTTTTCTTTTATCCCTTCCATTTGGGTGGTGCTACCCACAACCAGGGTGGGGCTTCCCATTATCCGTACCCAGAACTATGTTTAACCAATCAGTGGATGTCTTGGTTACTTTTTTCTCATTGCTAAGACAAAATATCCAACACCCAAAATTAAGGAAGGAAGGGTTTATTTAGCTTATGTTTGTGGAGGTTTCAGTCTATAATCAGTTGGCTCCAAGGCAGGGTGGCATGGCACAGGGACAACACTTCAGGGTGGCACAAGAAGGCAAAAGCAGCAAGAGCAAAAAAGGGGGAGGAGAACAAGCGTCTTTTCCTCCCTTATATTGTAAGTAGGCTACCCCTACCCAGGGGGCGTGTAGCACTCACATCATCTCCATGCCCTTCTCCTGCACAGGCTTATGATGTGTACAGAGCAAGCACCCTGGCCCCCTGCTTAGTTACTTAGCCTTCTAAACTTCTCCTATTGACACATTGAACAACATCCTAGAGTAGGAAGGGCATGTCCTTTTCACCCCAGGATGTAGAACTGCTGAGTTTCTTAGTTAACCTTCTAGACTCTTCAAGTTGACACAATGTATCAACCGTAACAGTGGACTAATGTAGTAATCATGCATTCTTAATCCCAGCACCACACAACATAAAACCAGCCACCTCTAAAAGTCCCACCTATGAGCACATGAGGCTTTGGGAGGACATCTAGATACAAGCCATGACAACCTCAAATGTAACCTCAGGTAGCCTCAATTGCAGTCCTACTGCTTTAGTGTCTCTAGTGCTGGGATTAAAAGTGTATATTACCATGCCTAGAAATGAGATTCTTTATACAGTAATATCTTGGTTCATGAACACCTTCTGTTTGGAAACAATTTGATTCTCAAACAAAAGCGTTCAGCAAAATTTTGTTTCTGTTCACAGACTCCACACTGGATGACAGACACAATCATGGCCATTTTCCCTATGTAGACACAAATGTGGCCATCTTCCCCAAATTCATAACACAGATTATGTTTGTGAACCAAGGTACCACTGTACTTTAGGTTCTAGTTTTCCTTTTGGCTTAATTCGTCTGGTCAGTAGTAGTAAGAAATTGCCACCAAATCCTCTCAGTGTTTTTTTACAGTATTGTCTGTAATCTCTTTATCCTTGCAGTGTAGTTCTAATGCCAGTTTTGTCAGTACCTTTTTTAATATTCCCTTTTACAGTACTTTGCATAGCACATTAAAACTCTGCAAAGTGATCTTCAGAGTTTATTTGTGCCGGGGATATAGCTCAGTGACATAAGCGCCTGCCTGGCAAATGCAAGATCCTGAGTTCGATTCCCGGTACAAGAAAGAGTTTATTTGGAGCTGGGGTACAACCTTACCCCCTCAAAAAAATACATGATTTAGTTTTCATTCTTCAACCTTCAAAAAAAATCTTTGTTAAAGACTTCCACATATTGAGTTCAGTGGCAGAGTGTTTACCCCTCATGTTGAGGTCCCTGGGTTTGAACTCCAGAACTGAAAGAACAAAGATCCCTAAATATGAACTGCCTTTAATGGGAGATACTATTTTTCAATTCTAGGCAGCAAGTTTAATGCAGAATCCTCAAGTTCAACAGCTGTAAGTATTTAGAAAGAGCTTGTTACATTTTCCTCTTCTACTTGTCAGGCTGCTAATTTGAGCACATTTGCTCAAAAATGATAAACTTGCCTTGAATGGCAGTCATTTGGAACTTAATGTCACATATGACTCTTTGACCTAACTTCTTATATAATGTGGGTACATTTACCTGACTTTTTCTTAACCAGTTATCCTACTTTATTAAGAATATATGCTAATCTTATTATCTCTTATATACCTTAGCATGTCAGGAATGATGACAAATGCTATTGGGGGACCTGCTGCTGGAGTTGGGGGTCTGACTGACCTATCTAGTCTCATCCAAGCGTAAGTGTTGTTTAAAAAAGAAAGATTGAAAATATATTTTATGTTTTACAATTTCTAAGATTTAGGGGCAGGGCTTTCTTATCTTTGTGTGTGTGTGTGTGTGTGTGTGTGTGTGTGTGTGTTAATATGCGTTTGCAATACGTAATGTGTCTGTTCACTGTGGGGAGTTGATACATATACATATTATATCTCAGTCCTTTTGAT